GCCCAGCGATGTAGATCTGGTTGTCGGCCGCGTAGTTGACGGCGTTGCAGGCGCCGAGGATGTCCTCAAACTCCACCAGGGCTTGTCTCTTCTTGGGCATCACCACCACGTAGCTGGGAGAGGGAAGGCAACCACCAGGTCACCATCATCACCACAACCCCCAGATCATCGTCATCACGCAACCACCAGATCACCATCACACAACCATCATCAGGTCACCATCACCACAACCGCCAGGTCACCATCATCACCACAACCACCAGGTCACCATCACCATCACAACCACACGACACCACAACCGCCAGGTCACCATCATCACCACAACCACCAGGTCACCATCATCACAACCACCACGTCACCATCATCACAACCACCAAGTCACCATCACCACAACACCCAGATCACCATCATCGCGACAACCGCCAGGTCACCATCATCACCACAACCACCAGGTCACCATCATCACAACCACCACGTCACCATCATCACAACCACCAAGTCACCATCACCACAACACCCAGATCACCATCATCGCGACAACCGCCAGGTCACCATCATCACCACAACCACCAGGTCACCATAATCACAACCACCAAGTCACCATCACCACAACACCCAGATCACCATCATCGCGACAACCGCCAGGTCACCATCATCACCACAACCACCAGGTCACCATAATCACAACCACCAAGTCACCATCATCACCACAACCGCCAGGTCACCATCACCACAACCACATCACCACCACCAGCAAACAGGGCCCTGGAGGCATCTCCTCACCTGATGGGTCCGAACTCCTGCAGCGCCTCCACCAGATCAGCCTCCACGACGCCGTCGATCAAGCCCCTGATGTGCACCACGGGCGACGCCGGCGTCTTGTGGGGGTCCTCGTAGTTCTCCTGCTGGGAGCCGAGGTCATCAGCACCCTCCAGGATGGCTTGAGCCCCCCCCGTCCTACCCCTCCTGGCCCCGTTTTACGCCCCCTCGGCTCCATTCTACCCCTTCTGACCCCTTTTTAACCCCCCCCAGCTCTGTTTTACACCCCTCAGACCCAGTTCTACCCCTCCTGGCCCTGTTTCACCCCCCCCTCGGCTCCATTTTACTCCTTCTGACCCCATTTTACCCCCCCGGCCCCATTTTATGCCCCCTCTCCAGTTCTACTCCTCCTGGCCCTGTTTTACTCGCCCCTCTATCCCATCTTACCCCTCCTGGCCCCATTTTAACCCCCT